ACACACGTCCTTTCAGATTCAGGGATAAACCATTCTGACGCCATAGGCGTCTCAATTTCGCAAACGCGGCCCGAGCGTTGCAGATTCGTGCATTCACCTCATCTGTCACACTGCAATCAGAACTAATACAACTTCCAAGGTACGTGAAACGCTCCACAACTTCCAGTACCTCTCCCTGGATTGTAAGGGGCGTGTTCAGTGACTGCACGTCCACAAGCATGACCTTACACTTTGTGGGTGCAAAATGCATACCAAAGGACGGGATGACTTTGGTCAGTTCATCCAAGAATACTTGCGCCTTCTCCTCCGCTGTTATGAAAACGTTCTCAGCCCTGAATGCAGCAAAGAAGTCAATTGTAGAACAGTGATCTAACTCGAATATCTTGGGGTGCTGAGAGAGACTACCAGGAACGAAGTTCCCCAAGACTGCTTTCAGAGAGTCTGCATTCCAGAGAAGGGATTGTGGGTGTAAGAATGTGGCTGAGTTTTTTGGAGTTTTGTACAGACCACTGAGATGTCGATGGAGTTGGGGATACTAGCCTAGTCAGCGGACGCCGTAGATATCGTCGGGACTTGGCTGAATAAGGCTATACTGATAATAATCGTTTAGCTATAGTACCCTTTCGGTACTTAGCTGATGTGTCACCCGAAGGAAGCACTAGGCCTGAAACATTTCCAGAGTGCAGTTTTGGTTCGAACCACCACCGTACACATATACACGGTTTACAGCTTATGGTGATGAGGATGGTTTGCTCACCTCAGTCACGTGTCGCGACAGTGAGCAGATGGGAGCGATCGTAGAGCGATCATCGGGACCCGAAATCAATCCTGGCCGCGGAAGGGTGTTAGCAAATCTCTGCCTCTTCGGAGAGAATATTAAAATAACTGAGTGGGGAAATCTGACGTTCTAGTGCTGCAGATGGCTCAGTAGTAGTAGTGCGAATTTACCAACCGGAAAACCCGTGGTTCGGACCTGACCTCCCCTGTGTAGGCTTGGACAACCTGGTAGTATCCCATGCCTCGTGCTTCCTTCTGGTGGTATGGCAGTTAGGCACCAAAAGGGCGTTGCAACTGAATGATTATCTGCTATATCTCAGTTGGCTGGACTGACGGGGGACGGAGCTATGAGATGTACAGGTTTAGGCTAGACCAGCTCCGTTATGTCTAATCTACGTACAGGAAACCTTGTTTCCTTAATAAGGCAGCATTCTGCCCATGTGGATCGTACTGATTAACGTGATATCTGTCTAGGCGTAATACACTACTCATAAGGTCGCTGAAAATTCTTCGACAGCCCACGACTGGGGGGCTGACCAGATAGCGCAGTCCTCGGGTTTCTGTCAACCTATGTTCCACTTGAACCCAAATTACGCGAAATTAACGAACTACATTCATTTGTAAACCAATTTGGTGTTGCGAGAGACTCACCTGGAACCCAGCTTAATCTATAGTTTATGATGTTTCTATGCAACTGAACGTGCTGCACCACGCCGCCTCATTTTATTTAGTATGATATTCGAGATATCGCGGTATATGTATGTAAACATCATAAACGGGAGATTTAGGTGGGTCCCAGGTAAGTCTCTCGCAAAACCAAATTTGTTTGCAAGTGAGTGTATTTCGCTATTGATATCTACTTCTTTAGTCAATAGATCCCCATTCTTTGTAATCTCCATCCTTAGGCATTTTTACCTCATGTTTCCCTCCATTTCCTTTTCATGTAGATTTCTACTCTAAGTCAGAGATATCTACTCCCGTTTTCTCTAGGCCGGTGTTTGGTATACAATGGAGTTTTCTGGCTTCTAAGTAGTGATTGCTGTCATACTACCCAGATCGAAGGCCCTCTTTAGATGAATTAAATTTTTGACAGTGCGCAAGCCCGATTTCTTTGTTCCTGATTCTGCTTTCAGTGAGGTTTGGGATTCCAGTCTACTTCTGGTGTGTCGTATTAGGTGCTCCCCACCGTGCCGAACACAGTGTGGCTGTTCTCCAAGCGGATCAGTAGCTGGGCTTTGTAGTACTTCGGCCATGTTCCACAAATCCTTGTTCTTGTGCATGCAAACTGGGTCGGGTCAGTAGATTGGAAAGTTGGTGTTGGCGCCATTGCCTCATTCGTCGCTTTAAGTAAGATCTCTGATCAACTACGACACAATCCTTTTTAACACTCCAAATCTCCCTATGCCACGTGCTTCCGAGCAGTGCGGGTTAGTGGTCTGCCGTCGGGTCGTTTTGCGGTGGGTATCTGATCTAATGCCCTTCACTATCAGTCTGAACGATATGCAGGAATGCACCGGCGAAGGATGTCTCGTTTATGCGGACGACCTAAAACTACACCAACGGCCAATATGACACGGCTTCAAGAAATTCTGAGTCGTGCAGGTCATCGGATTACCTTGATGTCCTGGCAACACTACTAAATGTCAGCGCTTATCCATTGTTAGCATACCTAATCCCACCGAATACGCTAGTTCTGGGACCGCAACCTTGGTGGTTGTAGTACGCCAGTACCATGTATGATGAGGGTGAACAATAACGTCACCAGGGCCTTAGAGGAAGGAGACTATCGTGTGCTCTGAGTCTCTTTTGTCCCCCATCATCATCGACAGCATTGCATCAGTGTTCAACACCGATGCTTCGCTGCCGTGCAACCATAATTTATTTGGAAGCCTTATTGTGGAGAAAAGAATAAAGGTGGACAGGTGTTCAACCGGACGAGAGATACCCTACCTAGTCTCTTTGCAACGTTTATTCGATCATTGCCCGAGTGTGGGTACCCCACATACCAAAAGAGAATACCATCAACCAGGACGAAACAAGTAAGTCTCACTGATTTGGACGCCTGAACTCAGGGGATCGGCTTAAGTAGGTTGTTGTCTTGAACTTGGAGTGTTCAATCTCTCTCGTTCAGCTGTAGCACCCTTTCGGTGCCTAGCTGCCATGCTACACGGAGGGAGCACGAGGGCTGGGATACTGTCAGGTTGCCCATGCCTAGACAGAGGAAGTAGTACCAGTACACCAGGATGAACATTATTCTCATACACCTTGTCTTTGTTTAGTGTAAGTTTTGGTGGTTGAAGCGCTCTTTAACCTGACGGAAACGGTTTACATGTGGAAATCGCCATGAGGTTTATGGTCTTCTACCCTATAGGATGGACGTTCTGAAAATGTCTTCATAATCGAAGTTGAGGCATCTCAATGAAAGCTAAATACCGGCTTACTTTAGAGATGGCCCAAGTGGTTAGAGCGCGACTTTACTGACCGGAAGGTCCATGGTTCGAATCCTACCTCCTCCACTCGACTTCCCCTGTCTAGGCTTGGGCAACCTAGCAGTATCCCAGCCCTCGTGCTTCCTTCGGGTGGCATGGCAGTTAGGCACCGGAAGGGTGCTACAGCTGAACGCTTTCTTTACTTTAGAGTTCTTTTACTTAGAAGGGTTACTTAACCTCAGGAGCGTCGCAGTCGTGGCTCCTGTCTACTATCGTTGACTTGTGAACTTTCCTGGCGCGGTGGCAAACACCGACGCTGACGCAGCTGAGTCAGCATTCAATTGTTCGATGGGATTAGAAAATCTGGTGAAGCAACTTTGCTGAGGCTGCTCGAAGTGGTCGGCCATGGGGGTCAAATCAGGTACGGGATTTCTCCCGAACTTTTGCTCAGCTCGTACTTAGACTCATCATCTGAGAATTCCATGCCATTCCAACCCGAGTTTTTTCTGGAGCAATGTAATTTGTTGGCTCACCAATGGTCGCATTGCGTTCTCAGATAACTATGAGCTTCAGGTGATCCAACTCTATGAGGATCCTTGCTCTTCCTTGATTCCTCTCTTGGGCAAGATTTCACCTGACAACCTGTTAGTTCGGTGTACAGACCTCGAACTGTCACTGTGATGGAATCTACGACAAAGATGTTATGTAGGACGATGCTTTTGGATCGCAGTCGTCAAATGAATTTTAAAATGTGCAACAACGGGAAAACGCCATAACAGTGGTAGTAGGTTGGATGTAACATACGACCTGCCTCTGTCCTGAAACATGCGAAGATACTACCAATGAGCCATTGGAACGCCCATTCCATAACATCGATAAAAAGGATTAAATCAAAAAGTGAAGACGGGGCAACTCCAACGAACTCCACTGGATCTGGGCAGACCTGTGAATATTTTACTTAGCACTCTAAACCGAACGGGGGTATGGGGACAACGGAAGGAAACGATACCGGACCTTATCGGTTCTCGCAATAACTTCTCGAGTACTACCGTCACTTGACGAAATGCACCTACTCGGATAAGTGTATATATATATATATATATATATATACGCATANGGTATGGATGGAATCCTTCGCGTGGCATGGCAGCTAGGCACCGAAAGGGTGTTACAGCTGACTGGTTATGGGTTATTATGGAATCTGAACTAAGTGGCACGATATCATCCGCTTGCCCCCAAAAAGATCGAAGACGACCAAACGACTAACTTTTCAGTGGAGTGGTCGACTTAACAGGGATCTCACTATAATAATGGTTGTTTCGTCACCAATTAGTAACCCATCCATTTTTATGTGCCTTTTTGGCCTATGCTAGCATACGAACACAATGCTATTATAAGTAGACCTGGAGTTCCATTATCTCATGCAGAGCATTAAACGGCGAGTTTCCTTCTTCGTTTCAGCGTTCCCTCTGTATATTTTTGGTATGCGTACTGGCAGCTAATTTGATCCATCTAACCTGCGGGCAAGAGTAACTTGTACAAAAATGATGCATTCGACTTCGAGCCCGTGGCTTCAAGCCCTTTCTCCCCACGACTCCACCACAGCCCCAGGCTATTCTTCATCCTCCGTGATGGCTTTCAATCATGTCTACCCGACTTTGCCTACAGCTGCTGCAACCCTTTCCTCCAATCAGGTGCATACCAATCAGCCTTCCTTGTTTTCCTTACATTCGCATTCGGCCTTCGCTGGAGATTCACAAACCGGATCTTCCTCTGGAGGTAAGTAATATCTTTTGACAAACACTATTTCTCGTCCCATGCATTAGTCCATTGTTTGATTGTCATTCGGCATTTAGGCCAAGTAATAAACAGTTTCGCGGTCATGATCTACCTCCTTAAGGAACGATACATACAACCATCTTAGAGGGCGAGCAAGTTCCTCTCTTCATTTTCAGTAGTAGTTGCAGGAGGTGTTTAATTTTTCCATTTGCAAGCGGAGTAATCTTACTGGAATCGCTGAATGCTATAGATCACACCGAACTTAACATCTCATTTTCGTTTTGAATTGGTTGTCCCTTCGTGGTGGACTTCCTGGATCCGGAACGAGACGCCATTGAGGAGCTTCTGACAGATTCCTTTGAAAACCACGGCCATATGCATGATCCGTTTAATGCTCCTCATCCCCGAAGTTTACGCTTCTGAATCGGTTACATCATTATCGCGTCAACCTTCTTAGACTTATCAGAGAGACCCAAACAGTTTGGGATTCGCACATGTGGTCACCGCGCTTGAATTTTTAAAACTAGGTTGATTTAGCCTCCATTTAAGACCAGCGTTTCTGCCGCTTAGATTTACCACCCTACTCTGTTGTCTTAAAAAATCCCGGGTCTTTTTGTGGTTTATATCTTTTCGGAATCAGTCGAGAGTCTACCGATTACTCTGCTCTGCTACAATCAACCCACCGTTCTTTCCGCAAGGATGCGGTGTGTGATAAGCCTGAGCATTGCGAGTTGATGCTGTCACATGGAGAAACCATGACTGAGCTTCTAAGCCGAACGGATCTGATAGTTGTTTGTGATAACTACTTCCTGCGTGCTCTAGACAGCTCATTGGTTAAAGCACCAGCTTACGGACCGGAAGGTCCGTGGTTCGAACGCAAGCTCAGCATCTCGACTGCTCCTCTCTGGGCTTGTGCAACCTGGCAGTATCCCAACTCTCGTGCCTCCTTCCGTTGGCATGACAGCTAGCCACCGAAAGGGTGCTACGGCTGAACTATTTCTATTTCATCTCTCAGGCCCCGTGTTTATGTCAAACTCATTAACTGAACAGTGGTGAGACTTACTTAGTGGCTAAGATAATCCATCGCAAAAAAACAGTCATCAATCGTTTGTGCCGTCGAACAACGGGTGCCAACGAAGCAGTTTATTTTAAACAACCACGTGAATTGGATTATTCGAGACGACACGGATTCCGTACCGATCTTCAGTGACTGGCGTGCTTATCTTATCAGGTATTGCTGTGCCCTCTGTACGTCTCTTGTATCCAATTTCTGTGTACAGGGGCGAAATGGCCCAAGTGGTTAGAGCCCGAATTTACTGACCGGAAGGTCCGTGGTTCGAATCCTACCTCCGCCACTCGACTTCCCCTGTCTAGGCTTGGGTAACCTGGCAGTATCCCGGTCCTCGTACTTCCTTCAGGTAGCATGGCAGCTAGGCACCGGAAGGGTTTTAAAGCTGAACGCTTTCTTTCTTTCTTTCTGTGCACATATGCACCCCAACTACTCGAGCACTCATTCTGTCTACCATTTTTGGTTACTCGCTTCTGTGAAATCAAATCGACAGATGTTTTGGGTATCCTGCAGTTTGAACCAGTTAGTACTTCTCATGGTATTCGAAAGTCCGATTGCGATTAGAGCATCGCTCTAACAACGTTATCATATCGCTTTTTGGATTTTTCCGGTTTGTAGCTCTGTTGTCCCCTTTTGCTGATAGGCACTATCAATCGACGGAATGTTTTCCCCAGCTTTACCCATCACTGACGACTTTATGAATGTCCTACTTTCAACCTTAGGTTTACTGTTATCAACTCATCAGTCCTTATTCATTTCATTTCGCTACTTGACCACCGTCAATTTTCTGTTTCACAGATCTTGCAACCGATTTGCATTCGGTAAGTGGTTTTATTTTTAACTTGTTTTTTGTTCTGCTGGTCCAGTTGACTGATGTCGGTTACTCTGTGCAGGTAAATAGCGACAGTTCTCTGCGTTGAACAGTCTATATCGAAATATGACCATAATATCTTCTGACAGCTGAGACTGGAAGATCCGTGGTTCGAACCCACCCTGACACTTCGACTGCTCCTGTCTAGACCTGGGCAGCCTGGCCGTATCTAGGCCCTCGTGCATCCTTCAGGTGCATGGCACTCAAGCACCGAAACTGTATCCCAGTTAGACTATCTCTCTCTCTCTCTCATTGTCTGGGTCCCCTGAGTCCAAGTGATCTCTGTAGGACCAACGGCACGCTAATTACACGGTGGTATTGCGGTGCTTTTCATACTCCGATTTCTCAGCAGACTTGACTTTTTTATTTACTTCACATGAAAAAGGTAATCTGAGGAGAATGACTTTTGCCTGAGAGGCCAGTTATTTTTGATGCCACTCAGCTTGTAACAACCAGTACTTCGTTCAGACAATGACCAGCGTGGTACAGCTATTGAAGAAAGTACAAACTTGTCATCTACCTTCTGGCATTGAAATCTTCTATCTTATTGATGCGGGGTTCTTGCTTGAAGTTTTGTTCAGTTGTGTGACTTCCTCTTACTACTCTTGAATGATTTTCTCTGGGAGGCGGCGTTGTAACGGTATAAAAGAGGATTGCGCATATCCTTGGGGACGTCCAGAATGATCTTTTTCATCAAATATATTTTAGTTGTGCTACCGTCTCCCAGGTTAAATTTTAGACTCTGGTACATCTAAATTCCCGTGCAATCTCGGTCAAATCCGCCGACGAGTTCAGAGAGGAAGTTGGAACGTGTCCTGCTTAGACCAACATACCCACCAAGAAGTCGACAGTTTCAAAATTGAAAAGGGTTAACTGATCTAGAATGAACTCCAGAAACGTGTACAAAATGACCGTATTGGGAATCGAAAAGAGTTTTTATTTTGGGGGTCAGATGTGTTGGGCTACACGTAGGGATGGTGGAAGGGAATAAAAGGCCCTCTGTTGTTAAAAACTATACAAATAGTTTTGAACTCGATGAAATTCCTGCACTTGACCATTTGTCAGCTTACTCAGGTAGGTTAATTGCTCGCTGATGTTTTAGAACGCTGCGTTCTACTGATACGCTTAGAGGCGTGCGACATTGAATCGAAATTGGACCATCCAACAATATATCTTGCTACTTTGACCTGACAGCCGATCCTACGTTCGAAATTTAGCATGATCTTGTTTGAAAAGTATGAACCCGCGTGCAATCTCGGTCAAATCCGCCGACGAGTTCAGAGAGGAAGTTGGAACGTGTCCTGCTTAGACCAACATACCCACCAAGAAGTCGACAGTTTCAAAATTGAAAAGGGTTAACTGATCTAGAATGAACTCCAGAAACGTGTACAAAATGACCGTATTGGGAATCGAAAAGAGTTTTTATTTTGGGGGTCAGATGTGTTGGGCTACACGTAGGGATGGTGGAAGGGAATAAAAGGCCCTCTGTTGTTAAAAACTATACAAATAGTTTTGAACTCGATGAAATTCCTGCACTTGACCATTTGTCAGCTTACTCAGGTAGGTTAATTGCTCGCTGATGTTTTAGAACGCTGCGTTCTACTGATACGCTTAGAGGCGTGCGACATTGAATCGAAATTGGACCATCCAACAATATATCTTGCTACTTTGACCTGACAGCCGATCCTACGTTCGAAATTTAGCATGATCTTGTTTGAAAAGTTTTATATGAACCCATGTAGGGAGGTAGGTCACGTGACCCGTTGTGTATCAGTCAGACGTTGTTATAAAAACTTCTCGGATTCCTCGAGGTGAATTCGGCAGTAAATTAAGGCTCACTATTTTCGTCTGCATTATCGTCTCTCATGCTCTCGACTCTTTTGGACAAGTTTGCTACTTCTAACGTATGCATTTGTTTCAAACACAGCTCTCATCTGTTCCTGGATCAATGCTATCTCAACTGGATCCGATTGCAGCTGCAGCCTATTACGGTTTCGAGACCGATCCAGCGGCCTCAGCCCCATCCACTAATTCCTGGTATTCCTCTTCTGGTGTTGATGTTGTCTCCTCTGCTACCAGTGGTCACGTATCGAGCACAGCACCTCAATCTGGTTCTGGTGGTAAGTCGAGACCAGTGCTGCCTGTCGAAGGTCTGTACTATACTCAGAACGAGTGAATCATCAAACACAACTTAATTTCGGTTAGCAACTACATCCAGACATTCGGGCTAAAACGGTTATTTTTCGATCATAAATACATGAAACCACGTATAATGAAATCACGTTTGCGTATGCCAGTCGACCGACTTCCTCTAAAGGCTCTTTTCGCACAACCACGTGAAGGGTGGAAGAGAGCCAGAGGCGGTCAAACAATGACTTGGCAGCGAAGTATGAAAGCCATTACCAGCAAACTCAGCTGCGCTGGTAATTGCCGTCTTCCTGGATGGGGACCCCGAGACGGGTCACGTCAGTGGCTAGAGACATTGCCAGATATGGCCCAGTCGCGTCCTCAATGGCACTCGTGCATTCAAGCTATTGCCTTCAATGCATAGCTCCTTTTCCAACCCCCCCTTCACTTGACAGCCCACTAACAGTGCACCAATTTATCAGCTCCCGCCTGCAATGCGCAGCTACCTATTCCTCCCCCCAAATCATCGGTGAACGAAACTGCGGCAGCTACAACCACTGTACGACGAGTACGTGGTTATTACAGCTGACGATGATGATGACATGAAACCATCGGACTTTTGGATTATTCCATCTAGACGGCGCATGAGATGAGACGGCGCTGTCAGACGAGCGACACGATTGTTACTATGGCCTAATCACAATGTTTCTGTGCAACATTGTGTACGCTAGTTGTTATGCTACTTGGGGATTTCAAACAATGTTTGCCAACGGTCTCAGAATTCTTCTGGTGAATACCTTCAAAAGTCCATTTTGATGATAAAATCACTCTAATTATGCATGAAAATGCCGTCTGTCTATAAGAAAGACTATTCGGGCAAATGCGAAGTGCGTCCTCGAATTATCGCTTGGTTTCGGCTACAAAAGCTTTATTTCCTTAACACATGGTGAAGATCCGTGATACCAGCCACAGTTGTAACTTGTGGATTTGTGAGATTGTGTGGCGAGCTTTTCAAAAACTTTCTTTCAAGCAATAGTGCCCGACAAAGATATCCACTTCCTCCATTTTTGTTTAATTTTGCTATGGATGAAGTAATGAGGCAAATAATGGAAGGTTTCCATAACCTCGGTGTTTCGATCACCTTGTCGACCTGGAATATGCAGGTGACATTACTCTCACTTTTAAAAAGGCCTTTTCTTGAAAAGCGTACTGAGGCCATCCGGTCATTGCACACGTGCTTCGAGCCCACAAAGTGAAATATAATAAAACAATAATCGTTCAGCTGTAACACCCTTTCGGCGACTAGCTGCCGTGCCACCCAAAGGAAGCATGAGGGCTAGGATACTGCCAGCTTGCCCAAGCCTAGACAGGGTAAGTCGAGAGGTAGGGATCGGGTTCGAACCACGGACCTTCCGGCCAGTAAATTCGTGCTCGAGCCACCACCGCAATGTTATACTGCGGAACGTACAGTCTTTGAACATGCCTCTAAGAATTCAAATTGTGGCTCTGGAGGTTGTGAAACGCTGCGCGTATCTCGGAAGTTGTATTCGCTCTGACGGAATTTGACAGATGAAGTGAGCGCACGAGTCCAAAATTGCTTTTACCAATTTGCGCCACTTGTGGCGTCAAAAAAGGCATATCTTTGGGTCTAGAAGGATGCGTATATCAGACTGAAGTAGGGGCTGTTTGGGTGTACGGTTACGAGACCAGGTCACTTCAGGCAGACGATAAGACATCTTTAAATACCGATGTTTCTGAACTACAATTGGAGTTTACTGGAACCAGTGAATTCGCATCGAAGTGATCAGGAGACGAGTTTTCGTGAAGCAGCCGATACTTCACTCAAACAATGCATCCAGCTCTGCAAGACAAGGTAACTGGACAATGTTTTACGCATACGGAGTTACTGCCTGCCAAGATGAGCGCTGTTTTACAGATCTTCTTCTGGAACCTGGAGCTTGATAGAATTTGACATGTCGGAGGAGAATGAAAGATGTCATGAAATATTCGGGTACCGTTGCTGTTCACCTCCCTGGATGGGTCCACATGACGCTCCATATGCCTAGCTTGAAACGCCGGACGATTGGCGGCTAACCCATGTCAGTGGGTCAGTTTGTCAGTTTCTACCCAGATTGTTTGACTGAGTACAGGAGGTATAGATATCTCGGATGTTTGTGATAGGCTAACCCTAAATTCCCCTCCATTTTCTTTTTTCTTTCCATTGTAAGGCTTTACTGAAACAAATTGACATGGCTATACGACAGTGAAGCACCGATGTCCTCATCTGGTGTTACTGTCAATATTGATGATGCTGCTGCCGCCACTTCGGTTGATAAGTAGCCTTTTCCATATGTGCCTATTCCGTCCGCTCCCTCTAGGTCTATTTAAGTTGCCCCTACCTGCAGACCAGCTTCTGTGCCGAGTGCATAGCCTAATCTTGCAGTAGTTTTTCGAATATTCTCTTCTTAGCCTCAGCAAACCACTGGCATATCTTTCGGTTTCAGATAAAGACATTTTCTCGCATAAGTTCTATTTCCCCAGACACCTACCTCTTCTTCTTGATACCATCGTTTTTCTTAGTGCATCGTATAATTTCCGCATTTTTTTTACTTTGTCTGGTAAGGCGCACAGCCTGGACTGTTTCGCACATGGAGCCCTTGGTAAAATAACTCCTTTTTCTTACTGCACGCCGGAGATCGTTTGTTATGTCTTGGTTCATTTCAGCATGGTGGAGCTCAATCCACTTGCTTGAAACAGCGAACAAAGTAAAGTCGAGGTCATCTACGGCAATTTCTGTTTCCTCCTGAATCATGTCTCACAAATGCAAACCTTTGGATTGTGTTGGCGTGGATGATTCGCATTACAAGAAGGACATTCAGTAATCAAATTTATTTTATTCAGTATTCCTTACACAAATGAAATACTCCGTCCATAGTATAGAGAAAATGGAAACTGTGAACATCATCTATTCGTGGTGTTTCTTCACTAAAAATCTCCTTACAAAAAAGTGGGGTTACAATTTTTTTTTCAAAATATCGTACGATAATGCACTACTCATAAGGTTGCTGAAAGTTCTTCGACAGTCCACAAATGAGTGTATTTTGCTAAGCTCGTACGATAAGGTTTGTATTCGGACTAGATAGAAATCAGTCTGAAAACTGGAAAGTCCCACACATAAATCTTTTCTACTACTTTATTGAAGATGAATCAATGAATACGTGCGTTCGAATTCATCTGTTCACTACAGTTTATTTCATTCCATGAAAAAACAGTGCTAAGTGATTAAACTACCATCTAAAGTGACGGATCTATAAGTCGCCATGCTTTCTCGAGGTAACACGTTACCCATAGGATTGCTGAAAGCTCTTCGACTGGCGGGTTCGCCCTTGCAAATGAGTTGCCATATTCTAGACGTATCAAAATTATCGGATGAACTCTGAAAAACCTTCGACGTAAAGCGGCCTTGTGCAACATGTTAGTTGAAGAGTTGTTAACCAAGGGTAAGGGGCGGTGGGGATGGTTCATGTTAGTTGGCTTTTCAGAGCTCGAGAGACGGATCAGTGGTTAAGGCGCGAGCTTACTAACCTGAAGATCCGCTTTTCGAATCCAACTTCCCCATCTCAAGGCTTGGACAACCTGGCCGTCGTGTTTCCTACGGGCCGTATGCCAGCCAGGCACCAATCGATTGATTGTTGATTGAGCTGAGTCTCTCATCAACCAAATTAGTGTGGAAACGATAGTATTTGGCGAGTTTAAATATTCCTTAAATGTGGGTAACTCCTATTAGCATTGGCAAAATTTGCTTCGGTAGGATTTCCAAGTGGTAGTATCCATCTTTTAGTACTAGTCGCGAATAACATGATGTTTTGTCTATTTAACTGCGCACCAAATATGGGGTTCTCCTGAGGAGATGGCAGTCATCTAATTCTGCACATTGTTTTCAATTAACAAGCATCCAAGACTCAACCTGACTTGTCAATAGTTGTTTTCCACCAGCTATCCAATCGAGAATTCATCTTACCATTCTACCCGCTCTGACCACACTTTTATTCATCACGCAAAAACCGCTACTTTGAGTGAGCGAACCACGCCTCGGTAATCGAATTCATTTGCAGAATAACATGTAGTTGTGTTGCCACCACTATACTAGGTTGTATCACTCACCAACTGGCTGCAACCATTTCCTCCACCTTTCCAGCTTCATTAACCATCAAAGACTTCATTTGTATACCAGAATCCAGTCTGTTCTGACTGTAATATTGCTAAGCCAACTGGGTTTCAGATGAGTCCGTCTGTCGAATTCGCTCGTATAGAACTTGTTTGGACCCGACCCAAATAACAACATGATATGTCGGATGCTACTGCCCCTGTAGTTTTGCCTTTCTAAACTGTACTTGCATGGCACTACACCCAAACCACTTCATATCCACCTGCCGCGTACATTCGGGTAATTTAGTTTCCGACCGATTGTGTTGACAAATTTGTCATGAATTTTTCGCTATGCACGCGTGCATAAGCTCTGGACAAACACGAAACAGCTGTTGGACGTTATCATACCCTCGTGCGCTGCTTCTTTTTTTCGGTCGGTCATCAACACGTGCGGCGCGCACACGTTTTGTCTATTTAACTGCGCACCAAATATGGGGTTCTCCTGAGGAGATGGCAGTCATCTAATTCTGCACATTGTTTTCAATTAACAAGCATCCAAGACTCAACCTGACTTGTCAATAGTTGTTTTCCACCAGCTATCCAATCGAGAATTCATCTTACCATTCTACCCGCTCTGACCACACTTTTATTCATCACGCAAAAACCGCTACTTTGAGTGAGCGAACCACGCCTCGGTAATCGAATTCATTTGCAGAATAACATGTAGTTGTGTTGCCACCACTATACTAGGTTGTATCACTCACCAACTGGCTGCAACCATTTCCTCCACCTTTCCAGCTTCATTAACCATCAAAGACTTCATTTGTATACCAGAATCCAGTCTGTTCTGACTGTAATATTGCTAAGCCAACTGGGTTTCAGATGAGTCCGTCTGTCGAATTCGCTCGTATAGAACTTGTTTGGACCCGACCCAAATAACAACATGATATGTCGGATGCTACTGCCCCTGTAGTTTTGCCTTTCTAAACTGTACTTGCATGGCACTACACCCAAACCACTTCATATCCACCTGCCGCGTACATTCGGGTAATTTAGTTTCCGACCGATTGTGTTGACAAATTTGTCATGAATTTTTCGCTATGCACGCGTGCATAAGCTCTGGACACGAACGAAACAGCTGTTGGACGTTATCATACCCTCGTGCGCTGCTTCTTTTTTTCGGTCGGTCATCAACACGTGCGCGCGCGCGCACACACACACACACAAATACATGCCTGCACGCAAGCATGTACCCATCCGACCTGCTTGAAAATGCATGAAAATATGAAAAGGGGCGATACTAGTAGACGCAAGACATGTTATGGAAATCCCATATGGACTCCCCAAGCTGGGCTGTTGTTGTTGTTGTCCGTGATGATGATGATAATTCTGCCACTACCGAGGTTAATGCTGAACGTCACCTCAGGGCGCTCGAGTGGTAATCAGCAGTGCGGTCTGCGATACGAGTAATCTGGGGCACGTTTGCGTTGGTGTCCGTCCGTCTGTCAACATAGCGATTGGGAGCGGATTGCCCCATTCTATTGCCGGCTGCTCAGTCTGACTTGCCGAAGAGACCACTGTATGATCCATCGGTTCTGATTCCCCTCGCCTAGCTATCTATCTTATGCTTATGTTACGGGTTATCTAGACTGCTTCTGAATTACTCTGTCAACAGTTTTTTGTTACCTTTTTTCAGTCTCATAATGAGAAAGGAGCCCCCACCATCTTGGGGACAAATAAAGTGATTAACCTCGATCTGGAAAAGCTCATGCTATCCCACAAAAGCTAGCTGGTTGGAAGGGGATTTTTATCTCCCGAATAACGTAGTGTTTCATAATGTTTTATTGTATTGCTTTTCTTAATGAATGTCCGTGACACGCATCGAATACTAGCTAGGCGTAGAACGGCCACGGTTTGAATCTGACTTTTGTCCGTGAATAAGTCCGAAACACCGTTAGAAGTTTGTCAAGACTGATTTATCCCGTTCCTCGATCGTTGCTCAGTTTTCTCAGGTTTATCTCAAGCGCTAACGGGATGTGCCAAAACACATGGGTTTCGAACATTTTTTACTCATTAAATGTCTTCGAGCGTTTGTGCAATGTTTCAGTCGCAGTTGAACGCCTCTGTTTACTGCTTCATTTCATTCGTACTATGCCCCTGGATTATACCGACCGAAATGTTCAGTATTTCTACGGGTCCTTCCATTTACTTCAATTTGCAAATCCTTCTGGGAAGAACGTCTGAGGTGAAATCTCCTCGATGTTACATCTAAACAACTTTTCAAATTCGCCACTAAATATCGAAACCAAGCACACCTAGGCTGTTATTTGACACGGGACTACTGCTCAATATGTTAGCTCAGTATGTCGGTTCCACATCATATGTGGGCAAACAGAGCCTACTAGAACGACTTGTATGAAACGCTTACGGTTCACATCGATAATTCTACCGGGTTTTTCGAAATCCGTCCTGAGGGCTACCTAATCCTCAGTGGGTGCAACCTAATGGATCAGTTACTGTCCACTTCACTCGGCCATAGTTGCTGAGTGAAACCCGTGACATCCTCCGACGGTGTTGCTTCCAATAATGCATTACGACTACATCTGGCTGAGTAAAAAGCTGCATGATATGCACTGCGTGCGAATCGACCTTTGAGCGTTTTTTGCCGTGCGGGTTGTACCCTTACTCAACTGAGAGCCTTCACGATATTTGGTTATTTTTTGTTCAGCTAACAGCTTCTATTCAACCGTTTTTTTTAAACTTTTGTCACTGTTCGATCTTTCTCCTCAGTCACAACACCCACAACAGCCAAACGACTACATTCACGCACCGGCTGTTCCACCTCCAATTCGAATTCCTCGTCGGCTGTCAAAAACCCAACAGGGCTACCGCCTCCACCCGAAGTGAGTCGCATTAACGCTTTTTACCCCTCCTTATTTGTTGCCATGTTACACGGGTTTGTTCTCACGATACTTTGCTATCACCCGTTATTTGACAACCCGTTTCTGTCTGCTCTCTCACACACCTACGGAAATATATACATATTATTATGACCCTTTTTATTAACCCATTACTGATAGTGTCTGAATGTTTTCGCGCGCGCAGGCGCGCCACTAATGGACCATGTCCGCTCACTTGTCCTGGCCATGGTGTGTGTGTGTGTCGGTGTATACAAGGTGACATCGTGGAGGAAAGATGGACTTTTTTCTGTCTTGTATCAGAAATTAAAAGGATTTTCTTGTAATGCCCCACCAGAGTTCGACAGCACATCCAGTTTATCAGAGCCCGTGGCAATATTTTGTTAGAGCTGAAACGGTAGTAAGTGGATGTGCTGGAGAACAATACCGAACTGCCAGATAACTAGGGTGTCGTTATTCTTTTTGCATTTAGTTCGTTATTGTCGCCCTATAATTTCAACTCATTTGCTGCAATCGGTCAGCCATGACAATGCCCTGTGTGACGATATGTTCTCGACTTGTTCCCTACCGATCAGTGCTACTCAAACCTGTGTGGTCGGTCACCCCGTCAATCTTTCTTGTGTCATGTGGATATGAACAAATCTTTATGTTTTCCGTATCGATTGTCTGGTTTGAACATTCTGCGACAAGTTGTGTTGCTCCTACGATTCATGTACGCGATCAATATGTGGTCAGTACCACGTGCCGTCGTCCAAGATTTTGTATTTTCGCCCATGATAGGGGAGAAGCTCAATTTTATTTTAAACCTGGATAATTTTCCGAAATTAGTCTGGCTCCGTTGTTGTATTCTGTACAGTGGCGTTACGTTCTAGTCCAGCCGGTTAATGAGAGGTGAAATCGTTTTGTTTTTGGTTTGGTTTGATTTTATCCATTCTCCTGGTGCCACCTCGGCATAAAAAAATAACAGTCTCCTCGCCCCACCTCCAGCACTATCCAACCCCTTTTTGACCATATATGAAGTGTGGAGTAAATCCCAACCCATCAACTCTCCGTTTTCACGTTCGGTTTCTCTATTGAGAGCGATAAACTCGAGCCGCTATTCGACATGTGCTTTTGGGCTACATGATGCTAATAGGGCGATCAACGTCGATACTAAATCCTATTGGTTATGTAATAGCGGACTGTTTGTTCCTAGGAGCAGATAGGGAATATTCTGGCATGCACTGCATTGCTGGTGATATTAATTATTATTGACTGCATGCTTCGTTCACAACGAACGCATCACAGGCGAACCTCCATGCTCTCAGCTTCCCCACCATCCCCAAACTAATTCGCATCGAGTCAAGAGTTTGTCATGTAAACAAGGTGTATCGAGGTGGAATGTTGTATAGTCACTTTTAAGCTTAAAATAGCTCAGTAGGTGGTGTTTGGGCTTACTGACCGTGAGGTCCGTGGTCCGGACTCAACCCCAGCTTGGGCGGCCTAGCACCTCAGCCCTCGTGCTTCCTTCGAGCGGCATGACAGCTATGCACCAAAAGCAATTATTGTCCGATTGTAGATTATTACTAACTCCTCGTTTCAGTTACGTGAGGTAGCAAGACCTTGTCAAACAGGGTAACGTACACCACTACCGTCTGTTTGCCACTTCCTATCGTCATCCGTCTTTTTGACTCAGTAGAAGCAACAGCGGAAGCTTATTTTAGCACATAAGTCATGGTCCGATTGCATCCTTTCATTCATGACACCAACTGAGTGCTGTTCGGCTTACTTCAATCTTTCTTAGTAGTGATACCGTGATGCTTTGTTCATCCTGGATATACTTTGTGCAGACGAATGCAGCAACTCTCATTCTACTCTTACACAAACCTATGGAGTTGGTGCTCGTTTTATCTTAAACACGCTTGCCGTCTGGCTAGATGCTACACCTAGCCCTCCTTTGCCTCTCTGACCTCCTGCACTCACAATTTCATCGCCTTGCAGCTTACGCTGGCAAATCCGTCAATCGATCGTTTCGGCTAGTTGCATTTCTCATTCAGTCTTTTCCGTGTCCGTCTAGGTTGCTGTTTATATCTATTAGAAATAGGCCAGCGACCAGCCATTTCATATTCCGAGTTCAACCCATCTGACTGCTTTGGGACATAACTACCTGATCAGCATCGTTTCATGCCATCGGTAACTGTAGTCGCTGTAGGATCAGTGGATATCGGACATCGTGTGATGTGCAGTCATGGAGTTGTGAGCTCCCTGTCTGTATAGTGTTCCAGTTATGCAGACTTCAAATCTGGATGGTTTTATCAGCACGTCTCAGTCCCAAGGAACGTTTTATCTCAATTCAGTCTCTTCAACACCATTGTGAAAACTAGACGTGAAATCAGGTACTCCGAGGGATGAGAGCAGCTTAGTAATTCCCATAGGTTTTTGGCATGCACCTGCTTCAGGTGGTGGAGGTTTAGTTTTCTTCTACTGTTTGTGTGGCTGTGCGAACGGAATAACTGACAACCCAGCCAAGAGAAGAGGGGCCTTCTTGTGAAGTCCCGTGTGAATCACGAGATGGTCTTAATCCTGGTTACCCATATTCATCGTGAGCACCAAAGTAAACCCCGAAGGCTTAGCACAATACCTATTTGAGGCCAAGGCCTTGTCTAAGGTTTCTACACCATTCAACTATGGACAGTTCCATAGGAAACCCATTCTACTCAGTGAATGGACATTTTCTGTTCTGTGTGCTTGCCGGCGTATGTTACCTCAATCCGCCGAGGCCGTTGAAGTTGTAGAGGAATATTGGGTTTAGGGTGAGTTTCTCCTTTTGACAATGCGTTACGACTGCCAAACTACCAGATGAAGTTGACTGGGAACCTCTAATAGAGTACTCCGACCTAGATGAGGAAACGTTTTGAGGAGACTACCGAAGTGTTCTTTTAGTAAGTTCGTTTCTCCACTGGACAGTTCAAAACCCGTACCTATTGCCGTGTGCACCGGGGCGGTGAGAATTCATTTTTATCCTTTTTTTCTGTACGATTTTAAATACATCGTTTCGTTTGGAGCAAGCACTTCCTTTGCTCATTCATTCTAACTGGGGCGAGATGGACCAAGTGGTTAGAGAGCGAACTTACTGACCGGAAGGTCCTTGGTTCGAACACAACATCTCCCATCTTCCCCTGTCTAGGCTTGGGCAACCTAGCAGTATCACAGCTCTCGTGTAGTCTTCGGGTGGAATGGCAGTTAGGCAGCAAAAGGGTGCTACAGTTGAACAAAAATGTCTCTGACTAAAACAAAAGAATACAACACAGTGAGCTCGTAGAATATTCACCTATCTATCGTCCAGGCAAGTGCGGATGGGGTGTTTTCGCGTCAGCTAGCTAACCGCCCAGGAGACCCACAGTATGGAGTGATTTATCACGGGAATGCACGAGGCAACGATCGTAAGAGTGGCAGTTGTTGGGGAATTTATAAGCACCTCGCTTTTTTGCGTCTCACATCCCAACAAGCCAGGTCAGACTGTCTACTCTCAAGAGTATCCCACTGATGTGGTTGGATATTGCGCAACAGTGCTCATGACATCAGCGGTTTAACGTTACCGTCTATTCGCAGATCCATGTCACTGATGTTTCGGTAACCCATTCAGCTATAAAGTGTTTTCTCGGTGAGGAAATACAGTTGATAACATTCCACACCGCCAAAACACTTCCCTCCTCCGGTGGACAGAATACTGTATCCAATAACCCAAGCCTTTCATTCGGTTGGGGGCGATTGCAAAAATCACTGTTCCTCTTCCCCTCCTGAAGTCCTTGGAGGCATTATTAGTATTGACTTCATTTGTCTATTCTGGTGAGAGTTAGTTCATGTCTGTTGAATTCCAAAGAGCTCAAGAAACGCTACATTTTTTGCTCCGGTTTCCCTGACCAAGAGAATATCAGGAATACATAAAAAAAACGTTCAGCAGTAACACCCTTTTGGTGCCTAGCTGCAAAGCCACCCGAAGGAAGCACGAGGACTGTCTGTTTGCCCAAACCTAGGCTGAAGTCGGGTTCGAACCACGAACCTTCCCGTTAGTAAGTTCTCGCTCTAACCACCAAGCACATTCTCCGGAATACAATCAGTAGATTGGGGATAGAGTAAGTTGTAGAATGATCTCACTTCAACTGTGTAGCTCGGAGACCTACATATTAAGTTGTGGCACGCTGAACCGATGACGGTTCGTTACAACACCTTTATCAATCTAGTATTTGTCCTGTAGGAATCGTCCAGATTGGAATAGCACAGCCTATCCTATCTTTCGCTAAGTCCTCCATGTTTGTCACGGTCTCCTGGTAGCACTGTTTATGCTCACATTCGTCCTTCCATCCGGGAACCGAAAATATGATGAAGGATACGGGATGCAATCCGGTGACTAAAAGTTACCCTCACCAAGGGAAGTTATCCGATAGTGGACAGCAGTTAATCGGTTAGTTGACTATATCCTTCCCAACGGTTTGACCGGATCTTACATGGTATGCTCTAACTACCGCTGTTCTATCGTGGTAGATCTCCCTCAATACATCAGCTGGTCACACTGGTCAGGTCACGTACTTCATATGCCAGAGCACTCTTCGCCCCGATTTGTGTATGAAGACCACCCAAGGGGCGCTCAGTCCATTACATGGCAATGAAGCGTGAAAGACTTTACCAGTCAACTTGGTTGCATTGGTAAATGCCATCTTCCCAATTGTAGACTGCGGGGCAAGATAAACTGGTGGTTAGTGATCCTGACAGATATGGCTGTTACATCATCATCGTCATCAAAGACAGCAACATCCGTGTTGACACTGATGCTTCACTGGCTGCCACGCAGCCAATGGTAGCCTTGCATCAAAACTATCACCTGCGTAGCTCTTCATCTTTGCCCCACCGGGCAAACCAAACCATTCGACATCAGTGAACTGGTTGGATTATCGCTTCCAACTTGTGGCTACCGTTCTCATATTCTCCTTATCCTCGGTGAACGAAGCTGAAGCAGTTGGAAGCACTGCATTTTGGTGCATGTTTTGTGAGCTAAAAAAACTGAACTGAACTGATGTTCTGACTACTGTTCCACGAAGCAGCGTATTGCTGCTGGTTCTCACATTCGGATAATAGGGGCATGCAGCTTACCGTGACCCATTCCTCCCTTCAAACAGATTTTCCCCTGCCTCTCCGTGTATGTTTTAACCAATAGCTGCTTTGGTGATTGCTTTTCTGCTGTTTAGACACATGCTTGACGCGCGCACTCTGTGTGTGTGCGTATCTGAATCACGGACACATTCATTTAAGACATTGGCACCCGCGGACGCACTCACCTACGCACACACACAAAAATTCCCCACATCCATGCCAATGACCACCGAACTGACAGAGATAACAATAGAACTGATGACTTCACTTTCCCCTCTATCCCCTTTGCATGGTGTCTATTTATCAGTAAAAGACTGCCGCTCTCTCGGTTGTCAATGGGTGGGAGGAGGGTTTCATGCTCGCCCCGACTGTACTGACATGTGTTTAGTTGTTAATTTTACGGGTCCGTATGATCGTACTGTGACCACCCAGCTGACCTGCTCTGGATAGTCCCAGCTGATTGTGTGGGAAAAGATCACCTCATGACCCCGAATTATCCGTCGGAATACACGGAACTAATGTGCGACGATCCATATGGGTGCTGGTCGTGCCATTCATCCTCATCCGTCACACTGGATCCTCCTTATCATCAATACTATCTTCCCACGACATCTCCTTTGATGGATGAAATGCTCTCGGATTCCCGACCCGCATTTCCGTTCGGTTGTGAACCCTTTAGTTTCTGGTCTTCTCCGGCTGTGCTCTCTACCATAGTGAGTTGTATTCCTTTTTGCTCCTCTTCCGAAAAATCGACAAACAACTAGCTTCTACAAATGTGTGGAAAACTGATGAAATTTGGTTTTAGCGGGAGACTCACCTAGTCCCATCTGAATCTTTCGTTTATGATATTATTCAACTGAATGTGCTCCACAAAGGCTATTTCATGTTCCATTTCGTACGCTGTTCGAGGTGGTACGGCGTATCTTTCCAGCGGGACGCTACTTCTGAGGTTGCTGAAAACTCTTCGAGGACCCACGACCGGTTTCGCCCTCCTTGGGGCCCCTCATGTAGGCACAGTCCCTGAGTTTCCTTCAGTCACATGTCCTACTTAAACAGAAATTTATCGCAGTTCTCGAAATACTTTAATTTGCAGCCACCTCATGAGTAGTGTTCCGTTATGAATTTTTTCCAACCAGCCGTTAACGTATCCAAGCAATCATCCGACTGCTGGTGAGTAGTCTCCAGCTTCACTAAATCACACGAGTCCTTGACTTTTTCCTGAACGAGCTACTCCTTCAGGTCATGAATCCTCAAGCGTGCCCTGGTGAATAACGTCCCCAAAGAGCTCGTTAAGTGTTGTTTTAGGACCTTGTCGTCATTTTTTCTGGTGCCTGTTCGATCCCATTACCATGTTTGATCGTATTGATTTTTGATACAAATGATGTTACTACTAAGATCGAATGATCTTTTCACAACAGTAGTATTTCGCCCTAGGCGTGACTGTCGACTCGCGTTATTGAATCGTTTTCAGACAGCGATGTAATATCTACTTTAGTGCATGCATTAACTTCCCACTACTTGTGACTCGACACGTGACATCATGCTGGCACCCGAGACTCCATCACAGCCCGAAAGCGCACTGGTTTTTCTATCCCATATGCACCAGCAACCCAGCTGTCTCTGGTTTGCTAGCAGTGACGAACGCCGTTCGCCGGACTGTATGTTATGCACCGTTTATATACACTAGCTAGACGGCTGGTTTCCGATTTATTCCATGTGGTCTTGTGATTACTGACTGGTCACTGCTGCCTTCGAGTTCCATATATCTCTCAGGTAGAGGACTTCTACAACGACCTGTGTTTTGAGTAGAAAAAGGTTACGCACCTATTTACGGCACAACTGCGCTTCCATTAGCCGATGACTTCCTTATCGAGGGTTAGATGTTTCTAAACTAGCTAGTAGAAGTACGAACTTTCCATGTATGGCTTTCGATAGACAACCCTTGGGCAGTGGTAGTAATCAGTATTACGGAAACGGCAGAATTCTCAAACTGTTGCGAGCAAGTAAAGCATTCTCAACCGCTAGTTCTCGATGAGTGAAGTGGTACAGGTTTGGCGTTGTGACGCTCATTATCATCTACGGTATTTGTGCGTATCTACTTTTACCTTCAGTGGGACTCATCAGTTTGGTTAGGATTTTCGCGTGATTCCTTAGTTGTCAACCTCAGACTGTTCATCTCAAGACTACGCGTCTGCCGACCGTACTTGCATGGCCGAACGGGATTTTTGATCAATCCAGATTTTTTGTCAGTCTAGACAGGTAACATGACCGACATCTACTACTCGCATACTACTGTCAATGGTAGCGATAACAGCAGATTAGCCATCGGACCCGATGAAAACCAAGCACAAAACTCAAAACCTTGCCAGTCACTTCGAACTGTTTGTTCTGCCTATTCCTCGGAGTTTTTATTTCTCGACTAAAATCGACACTATTTTCTCAGCTTCGGTTTTATTTCCTCACACGTGCCGCCATATTCTGGCTTGTTTTGGAGATGATGTACACTAAAAAATTTAAGCTAGGAACCTACTGTATGTTCTCTGGAAAGACTTCCTGAAGGAACTGGTAAACTAGCGGTCTCTTTTAGAAGTCGGTTATGTGAAGTTGGGAAGAGAGAGTGATGGTTGGTTGCAGGGCACACCGCAAGAATAGCTTGGGATCCTCAAGGATGATAGATTTCAAACTATGCAGGCGGCAACAGTCCTGCTCGCTATGAAATGTTCCTGCCACTGTCATTTTGCTATCTGGTGGAATGAAAATGAATCTCCAAGAATGCCCACAGTAATACGCCCATACCCTGGCAGTGATAATGTTCTCGGATCTTCAAGTGTTGGTCATATGAGAGCTTCCAAATTTATTTTGGCTCACCAAGCGGGCGACTGTACTTCCCCGGATGTGAATACAAGAAACATCCGGTAACATTCCAATTCCACCGCCTGACAGTCGGATCGTCAGCGTCATTCGACGACCATTTGGGTAAACAATCTGACCAGTCATCATTAAGTATATCGTTCTTTGTCAACTGCTGCCTAGAAGGGAGTCAAGGTTTCTCAAAATGTCAGGCGTTTCCCGTCATCCGTTACAAGTAAGGTTTCAACTCAAGGTTCCTATCGAGATTGAACTCCATAAGTATGGAAACCTGACCAGCCCACCATTATTAATTGCAAATCTGATTTGTCTACTATCGTGAAGATTATTGGTATTAACTGCGTAGCTTGGTACGCTATTTTCCGGTTTATACGATTCTGTCACCAACTAAAGTGACGAAAGTGCCCCCAGCTAAAGTGCACGGCGTTTCCCATTATTGCGCGGTTTCTTGAGACTCGAGCCAATCATATAAACCTATGACTGTCCAGTGCAACATGCTTCCCCGTACTGCCCGGGAGGAGACTGATACCCTCTTTCTCAGTGTATAGCTAGAGAAAACTACCCACGAAAACCCGCAAAATAATTGTCTGACTTACACTATTTGTGCACAGTTCCTAGAACTCGCAATCGGCAACCCATGAACCAATGAATTTTCGGTCTCTTCTGAGAAGGAATCGGACCTCGATTTGCTTTGCCATTGGGGTCATCATCCGAGCTGGGGGTTGATCTCTCAAGATTGGTAAAATTCGTAGAAGGTTCAAGGGACTGACAAAGCTGATCTGAGAGGCGATCGTTTCAGAGGTGGGCAACCGCACCACACAACCTCGTCCAGGATGCAGACTATGTCCTGATGTAGATTATGTGCTTTCCTTGTGCATTCGTCTACTTATGGTTGGGTGCGGGAACGTGTCGTGAAAGTAAAACATTACTGGCGGACCACTCAACTGCTCCGCCTTCGTGAGACAATTAGTGTAGCTTGATGTTACAGGATTTGGCTCCTGAAGACGCCACTTCTCCTTAAGACACCATTCGACCAAGTTGGCTCATGCTGGCAAAGTTTTACATGCTCGAAAGATGACTATTCGGCTTTCACTCCATCTGAGTCTTCAACTCACCTACTAAGATTTCTTGTAACCCTAGTCTTGACCCCGTTCTTCGTCGGTGTCATGCCATCGACCACGTCCCGGTCATATATGATATCGCCTGCTGACCTGTATGCCTGACAATACGATGATATTGATATTTTTACTGGACATTTGAGATTTCAGCTGGGGCGGCCCTGTTCGTGTCTATAGTTTTCTCCGAGGCACCTCCAAACGTCGCCTGGTGAGGGGTTACTCTTTAATGGGGAGTTCTACCTCACTTTCATAGAAGTGAGCGCCGTCAACTTGACTGTTGTTGGTGTACTGTTCGTTATACCCAATACATGCACTAAGGGTTCCATTTCGCACATTTGGGCGTACAATACGGCCAAATGTTGTAACCAGCTGAGAGAAGAAACGAACCTCTAGATCTGTTATGGTGTGCAGGCACGCTTTGAGCTTACGGCACGTGCTCGCCTACAACAATCTCTGATTTTCCAATTTACTGTTATCATCATTGTCACAGCTGCTCCACTACAAAGAATCTTTTCAAATTTAGGTGGGTTGTATCATCATCGTCATCATCATTGGTAGCTACACAGGAGAACACTGGCGCTACACTATCTTACAAACATGTCAGTTTATTTGAGTAAAGCTTCATGCAGATACGTATGTACATATGTGAATTACTGGTATCCGAATCGGATTTACTGATCAACAGTAGTCAAAGCCACCAGAGTCTGCGCATAGTAAGAAGCGATGGACCGTTTGCGCGGAACCGAATGGGGTTCTGCAAGAAAATTGTTGGCGCCGATGTAAGCCCGAAGAAATAAGATCGGTGAGTGAACCTACCTACCACAAGCCATCAGCGGGTCCAAACGTGATAGTATGTCAATGGATACCCACACCAGTTACTTGTTTATCATTGAGGTGCTAGCGTAATCCATCAATTCTTAAGTTCCGACTTAACACCGCACCTACTCTAGCATAACATGCAGATTTTACCGGGAACTGCTCATTAACCCACGGTAAGGGTGATAATAGCGGTATTTCACTGACCATTTCGGGTCAGTAGTAATTAGAAAGTTGAACTGGGTATCGGGGTTCCAGAAGTTCACGTTTATCAAGTGGACCGGTGAGTATGCTGGTGGCCCATAGTACTGGTCATACTAAGACACGTGTGTCCGCATGTCCACATGGTCGATGTTGCATTGAGAACATTTAGCCCGTTCCGAATGGTTCGATTGTTCTCCAGCATTCTAACGCGTTGCGTCTCAAAGTTTCTCACGGATGCCTAGATAGCCGTCCTCCATGTCAGATCCTTCTGTGACGTAAAATGGAGATTAGAGTTCCTCAAAATCACCTGAAGGCTGTCCCAATATATATATATATATATATATATATATATA